GATGACCTTCACTCGCCCCGATTTTGCATATCCCCTCAACATCCTTGCTCGCTTTGTTGCGACAGGGGAACACCGGCCTAAGCACTGGTCAGATATTAAGAAGGTATCACGCTAGTATATCAAGCATGGGGCTTGTGCTCGGTGGACGACAGCCAGTTGGACTCACGTGACACACTGACACGTCGTGGGCAAACGCCATAGATTCTCAAGTGATGTTAGGGCTATTGCTTCAACCGTGGTGCAGGAGCGGTCTCGTGAAGACCCACTCGCTCGTCGTCCGTGGCACGGTCCAGCTGTAAGGCAAACATCTTTGCTGGGTTTGCTCAGGAGCTCTGTTGGCTAGCGTTCTTGCTCACTAGCTCCGGTAAGCTGCCTAGTTTTGCCCCGATCCTGTTTGCTGCTAACATGCCCATGATCCTCATGTGTCAGGATCCTAGATTGGAGAGCAAAGCCAAGCATATCTAGTTGCGGTACTTCCTGCTGCATGAGCTGCAGCAACGCGTCCAGGCACGCGTAGTAGACTTGGCCTCAAGGGCTAACGCCGCTGATATCTTCACCAAAGCACTCCGACCTCTTGATCATCAGTGGCTCTGCACACAACTTGGCGTTGTCCCAGCAAGACCTTACGTGTTGGGATCTTGAACTCTGATTTGATTATACTCAGAGACCAGCCCTAAACTTTTTGTCTTAGGAGCAGGCCTAGTAGTGCCGCCACGGGTTGTACCTCATACATTTTGATGTTCTTGCTGACTGGCCTTGTGGGCCTGTGCTTGAGGGTTTAGACTTGTTTTTTCGCCCTGAGATGTTTCTCATTTTTTACACACTGCCCTTACATAGATTAGGGGATGTTTTTATATAGAGGGCAAGTTGTAGGCTAAGCTGGGTTGTACCATGGAGGGTATGGGATTTTACATAGACCCCCCAATATGTCGTCATCTACACATTTTCTTTCGGTTCTTACCGGTACATTCAATTATTTTACGAACGCAATGTTTTTACTTTGATGCAATTATGGTGACTATTGCGCTTCAAGAAGTTATCGGTGTATTCGTGGAACTTCCGAATGCGGTCAGCAGCTGAAACTGTCGACTTTCTATCTTCCTATATCGCATTCTCTATACTATCAAAGTGTACTTGTACTGAAGGTGTACACTTGGTAGGCCAGGTAACATTGCTGGTTGAACATTCTAAGGTTGGGTATTTGTACCCTTGCATGCCATTCTAGTCACCATTCTCGTTTCAACATGGTATCGAGTAGGTTAGGATTCGCGCTTCCGCATCGCTCACCCTACACTAACCTAGTCCGCCACCCACATCGTCTTGGGCCTTGCCTATAGAGTGCCTCCTAGGACGCCCGCCAGCCGCCACCTCGCGCCACCTGCCAGCCCGTCGCCAGCCCACCAGCTAGCGCCCGCCACCCCGCACGCCTAGGTGCCGCCAGCTAGCGCCTGCCACCTCGCATACTTAGGTTGCCTGCGAGCCCGATAGCGCGCAGCATGCTGCCAGTGTGCACACCAGCGCGCGCACCAGCATATGCCAGCACGTAGCAGCCCGCAGCCCACTAGCGCGCTGTAGCGCGCAGCTCGCTAGCCTGCCACAGCCCACCAGTGCCCAACACTATTCTTCAAACACTGCTGCACGTCGCAGCACAGCGAGCTGCACTCACTAGACTTCTTCACTACCTTTCTTCAGGGCGGCGTACACGAAAATATCTGGCTATGCCGTCCTCTTGGCTTCACTAGATCTTTCCCTCTTGGAACCTAGTGGAGCCTTCGACGACTAGTCTATTATCTGCGGCAAGCTCCCCGTTAGTGGCACAACACATTGTACACTACTTTCGCTGCTCTCGACTTGTTCCCCCCCTCCGCTGACCCTTCCCTCTCCATTCGCACAGACACTACGCTGTCCTTCATTCTTGTTTACGTTGACAACTTGGTCTTTGCTAGTGCAAACAGAGTTGCTCTAGCTTCAGTGAAGGCTGAGCTGTTGAAGAGACACACTTGCACCAACCTTCATGAGCTCCCCCGCTATCTTGGCTTGCAGATCACCGGCGACAGAGCATCGCTCACCATCACTCTAACTCAGCCACACATAGTGCAGCAGATCTTTTTACGGTTCTGCCTTAAGTTCCCTTCTGTACATCCCACTCCACTGGCTGTTGGTCACACACTCTCGACTCTTGTTCCTGGCGAGTCGGTTGAGCCAAGTGGTCCGTACGCAATGCTGGTAGGGTGCCTCACGTACCTGGTGACTTGCACCCGCTGCATTCTGGCTTCCTTTGTTGCGACTGGGAGACACCGTCTCGCTCACTGAACAACCGCTAAGAGAGTAGTAGGGTAACAGACGAGCACATCAGATATGGGGCTTGTGCTTGGGGGACGACAACCATTCAGACTCACGGGACACACTGAAACTTCGTGGGCAGACGACGACAAGACGCTACGGCCTTCTCAAGGCTACTGCTTCAGTCTTAGCGCATGGGTTGTCTCGTGGAGGTCTACTTCTCGTCGCTGATTGCTTCGTCTAGTGGTGAGGCAGATATCGACGCTGATATCATGGCTGCTCTGGAGCTTCGCTGGCTAACGTTGTTGTTCATTGATTTAGGCGAGCTACCTGGCTCTGCCCCGGTCCAGTTCGCTGACAAAAGGGCCATAATTTTCTTGTATCAGGAGCCTAGACTGGAGGGCAGAGTGATGCATATCCAGGTGCGGTACTTTAATCTGAGTGATTTGCGGCGACGTGGCCAGACACGCTTGGCTTTCCTGGCCTCAGAGTTGAACACCTCTGATATCTTTATTATGGCACTCCAGTCTTGTGATCATCAGCGGTTCTGTACACAGTTTGGCCTTGTTGGAGCATGTCCTCACTTCTTATATTGCTGATGTATATATTTGATTTGTATTTGACTTGTTTGTACGCATTGAGTGGTCCTATGGCAATTTGTCTCAGAGGCCGGCTAGTAGTATCGCCCTTATTGACTGGCCTTGTGACCACTTGCCTCAAAGGCTGGACAAGTTGTGTCGCCCTAATTTGCTTCTCGTTTGCCAGGCACTGTCCGCCCCTTACCTAGCCTAGGTGGTTTGTCAATGTGTATTTATACTGTAGGTGTACATTTGGTGGTTGGACATTCTATTGTCAGGTAGGGTTCATTTTCGGTTTCTTTCCTAAATATATCACTTTTCGAATCAGTTCACATTACTGTACCAAAAGGTGTACTATATACATTATGGGTCAGACTAGTCATGTGTAGGAGCGCGTGCTGACACATATAGTTTCGTCCATACAACCACTTCCTACCGGTACCTGAACCAGGTCAGCATACGCTCGCAAATCAATGGCGCGGACAGCACACGCACCACTCACACTTCATAGGCAACAGTGAGGCAAAAAATGAAGTGTTTGGTGAAGCTGATGGGCCGAAGGCTGCGTGTTACTCAAGGCCTCGCTTGACAAGTTTAGATCTTCCGCACGAATCTGGTATGTACCTGCAGCCGCAAACCCTAAACCAGTTGGGAAATTTTCATTATAAAGTGACTCTCTGTTTGTCTGGTGTCCAAGGTCAGAAACACCATAACACGTATGGTTACTCACCAAATTCACCAAATTAGGGTAACTAAAATGCAAAATATTTGAAATCGTTCCCTACCTGACCCGCCCTTAGGATTTGTACCCTTAAGTCATTCTAGTCTCATCATTCTCGTTTCAGCATAAACGAGGCTAGCGCTATCAGGTAGAGATGCGCTATTTAAGGTTGATGAATGCCCTGACATTGGTGTAGGGATGTGTGGAGATGTGAGATGGGAGTCCTAGTGTTGATAACCAAAGAAAGTTCTAGTGCCTCACCAAGTATTTCGTCGGTTCCTCTTGTAGTGAAGACTTCTGTTTCTGACGTGGCACATCGCAGCTCTACACATTCAGTTCTCATGTCATCTGTCCTCATGCATTGGTGAGTATGCACCTCGCCACGATGACCTGGCGCAATCCACTCTGGTGCGTGGAAAGGTCACTCTAGAGATTCCGTGAGGGGTTACGGGAAGCAGTAAACGATAACAGGCGGTTTTGAAAAGGGTACAGTTTAGCTGGTTAGAGACTTCTAGCCACCACACTTCCCCTTTCCCCTGCTTCGTCCCGCGCATTCAGCTCGTGGCAGAGCGGGCCCGCCGCGCCTCTTCCCCCTCCTCCGCTCCCCCAGTCCCCTCACCCTCTCGCCTTCCCGACACCACCGTGTCATTTCTGGTTTCCACGCAACCACCTGAAATTTATCCTGGGTGCTAGTGCCTCCAATCCAAACAGGGTGCTGCCATTACGCCCATTGTTTACTTTCGTTCAGGTCGCATAGATTCTGAAGTCTAGACTCAGGTTTAGGAGTGCTGCTGATACCTTGGAATTCTGAGTCTCCTTGTTTGTGGAGCCCATTCTTATACGAAGCTCATGGCGCTTATGCTGCAACCCGCTCGCGCCGTGACGAGCTTTCGTCCAGCCTCCGCGGACTCACCCCAGCCCACTTCTCCTTCGGTCGGCGCCTCTTTTCCACGAGTCGCATCCACACTCGTGGCACATAAGCGGGGAAAGCAGGGATGTCGCAGAAGTCTAGTCGCCCATGCGACAGCGAGCAGCAGCGCCTCTTTCGCAGACAGCGGCAACACGAGCGGCAGCATTTACGGTGACGATAGCAAGCCTGAGAATCCCGTGGAGGCGAGCGGGCTGGGGGCATCGGACGTGCGCCTGGAGGGAAGACGCGCCGTCGATTTCTCGGAGCGCCTCATGGCCGACCCCTACCTCCCTGTCGAGTCCGCCATGACCACGCCGGTAACTCCGCAAATTGCGTCCTATGTGACACCACCTCGCGCTCTGATTCTCCTCCTTCCCTTCCTCTTACCGCCCCTGTCTACCGCCACAGCGGACCATTCTGATTGCCATGCTCCCTGTTTCGCTTTCTCAACGAATCATTCATAGCCGAATGAAAAAACGGGGGCATTCGTCGCGTTCCGCGTGCGCAGGTGGTGACAACGACCCCGGCGAACACGATCAGCAGCATTCTGGACCAGTTCGTGCACTTCACGGGGCTGCCCGTGGTGGACCGCGAGGGGCACTGCGTGGGCGTCATCTCCAACATCGACATCGCCAAGCACCAGCGCCGCTCCTTCAAAAGCGTCGCCGACGCGCTCGTCAAGTGAGTGCCCGCTGCGACTGAGTGCCCGCTGCGACTTGAGTGCGCTCGCCGGGAAGGTGCGTCGCAGGGGCAGGAGGACAGGGCGCAGGGGGGGCTAGGAGGAGTTGTCGAACAGGGGAAACGCACAGATTGATTACGAGAGTCGAAACATAGAGAAAGTACGCGAAGCCGGTTGAAGCTGTGCATAATGAGAGAGAGACATCTGCACTGCTGACGTGAGTGTGCATATGTGGCTTGGGAATACACAGTTTCAGGTGCGGTGAGTGAGACGCGGAGAATGTTATGTTGTGTGGCGCTGATGGCATGGCAGCTCAACCTAGCGCTCAGCTAGGTGGAATAATTTGCTTGAAACCTTCTACTCATCAGTGTGCCCGAGACAGTGCTGCACGGAATTGTGCTGGTTTTCAGACTTGAACCCCTCATTTGAAAAATTGTATGATGGTATGGTTGTTCTTGTTGCCGCTGTACTGCAGGGAAGTGATGACATCTCCTGCCATTGTCATCACGGAACATGCCCCTGTTGCCTATGCTGCCGGGCTCATGCTCAAACACAAGGTATGCCTACTCACACGTGTGGCATTGGTGATAAGTTCATGTGTATGGCTGGGCCATAGATATACACTGCTTCTCTTCTTCACACTCATCTGTTTCTACCATAATGCTGAGCCGGATCTCAGTTTGTACTTCAAGGGGGCATAGTGGAGAAACCTCAATTGTCCTGGTGATGTGTCTTCTCCTTGCTTCCCCATGATGCTGTCTGCCGTGCCCCTCAGATTCACCGTCTGCCTGTTGTGGATAATACTAATGTGGTGGTTGGCATTCTCACCCGCACCGACATCTACGAGCCCCTCATGCCTGCTGTCAACCCAGTGCTCCATCGCCTCGTAGGCTTTGAAGAGCCGAAACCACCCACGGCTAACCTGTAACTGGGCCATGCTCCCAGATAGATCAATCTGGCGTTTGCAATGGTGGAGAATTTGGTGTTTTTGGAGCTTTCAACCATGTATTTTCGTCTACTCCTCCATTCAAGAGCCAAACGTGGCACGAAAACTGTCTCAGGCTCGGTTAGAGGAACCTGTGCGTACAGATTAGTGCAGTGGTGTAAGAGAGTTAGAGCTGAATCTTATCAATTTCTCATAATATATAAAGAAGAGGGTAACTTCAATTTGTAGATGTAGAATTACAGCCAGCTTATTTGTATGGAGACTGTCACGGTTGAACATTTGGTGGGATGAGCACCAGTACCGTTTCAGTTCTAGAATATTGCATCTCCTGCTGCCATTGGCTGGGCCTAGCTCTGCCACGTGGTCACATTGAATGTCCGGACACTTCCAATGCCTCAATTTTCGCGAATTTCGACCAGATCTGAGTCCACCACCGCCACCTCTCACCGTGACCATGGGCTTTCTGGCCCAGGACCTCGCGAAATGCTTTGCGACAGGTCTCAGTGGCTCTGCTGGCATGACCGAGACTGTCATGCGATGACGCCTTGTGTCGCAAGAGGAGCTGGGTGCGTTGCGCGAAATGAATCAATCGCACAAGCTCAAGCTGTGACTTTCGTTCACAACAGCCCAAACACAGCCCACTGCACACCACCCGCAGCCTAAACTGCCAAGCGGTGTTGTGATCAAGCAGTGAAACTACAGACGTTGCTGACGTCCTCACGCACTTCGGCCTTGCCGCGGTATCGGCGGGGCGGGGATTCTTCTGGTTGTCTAGTTATCGGGCTTAGCGGCGGCAACCGTGTCAAGCCTTGTAATCCCTCGCGTCTCCTCGCATTTCCTTCTCAGGCGACCCGGCGACTCTGTTCCAACCATGGCGATCGCACCAACAGCTTCACTTCTCACCATCCTGGCCCTGATCGCGCTGGCGTCCAGCGCGTTCCTCCCCGCGCGTGCGATCGAGAACAAATGCAGCGCGTGTGTTGCGATCTCGGTGAGCTGGCGTGAGCTAGGGATAGAAGGCGACGCGACCTCAGCAAAGCTCGTCCTCGAAATACCAAAATTCCTGAGGGAGGAGAAGCTTTTTTTTTTATTGCACATAACTGAGGGATATGGAGAAACGTCCGGTGCATGTCGGCTCCTGACGCGCCTCCAATTCCCACCCTTCCGTCGCGCTAACTCTCTCGCAACCTTCCCACCCACTCGTACTCTCTTCCACTCCTGTTGTTCGCGCTGCGCAATTCACCTCACGCGCGTCCGCGTCCGCCCACCGCCTCTCTGCCCGCCCATGTCTCCTGCCCCCGTCCTCTCTCGCACGCGCTCTCTCCAGATTATATCGCCGCGCCTTTGATCCCACTGTCGCACTCCTTTTCGAATGGATGCAATTGTTTCGTGCCTTGTTGTCGCTTCCTCTGTGGGATCTTCAAACGCTGCTCCCCCATCCTCTTCTCACACACGCCCTCCCCTCCTTTTTGTCCTCCCGTCGACTCTCTATCCCCGCGATTACGCCGTTTTCTCGCAATTCCCGGCGCCGCGAATGACGTGGCTGACTCGATTATCTCTACGGATGCGGCCGCGTTCACGGCGAGCAGAAGGAGCTGCTTCTGGTACTATCAGAGGTGGGCCATAGGTGCAGTTGATGCGAGTGTGTGAGTGCGCAGTGCGGCGTGACATTGGTAAAATGCAGTCATGAAGAAGAGGGGAGGGGACGAGGGGAGGGGGGGAGAGGGGGAGGGACGAGAGGAAGGGGAAGCGTTAAAGGGGAAGAGCGAGGAGGGCGAGCGGTGGCGGATGACAAGGGCGAGATGGTGGGGGTTGCAGGATGCGCAGGCGACGAGAAGAGAAGCCTCCGACAGGGTGACGCGCGTGCAGTTGCGATGGTTTCTAACGGTGCTGTGTGCTTGTGGTCCATGTGTTATGTATGTATGTGTGTACGTGTGTATGTGTGCCTCTGTGTGCGCGTTTGTGTGTGTGCGTGCACGGGCATGGCGGCATGTGTGAGTGTGCAGGAGCGGCCGCGCAACCATCTGGACATGAGGAATCGGCTCAACTCACAGGGCAAGCGCGAGGGCAAGCTCATCGACTACAGGTGCCGGAGCACACGGGGTCACGCGGGAGGGGACTGATCGTGCCCGGTGGGGAGGGCAGATCACGTTGGTGGGAAAGGAATTACGTGGGTTGCGGGGGGGAGTCGTGTGTGGTGGGGGGTGATCACGTGTGTGGGGGGTGATCACGTGTGTGGGGGGTGATCACGTGTGTGGGGGGTGATCACGTGTGTGGGGGGTGATCACGTGTGTGGGGGGTGATCACGTGTGTGGGGGGTGATCACGTGTGTGGGGGGTGATCACGTGTGTGGGGGTTGATCACGTGTGTGGGGGGTGATCACGTGTGTGGGGGGTGATCACGTGTGTGGGGGGTGATCACGTGTGTGGGGGTTGATCACGTGTGTGGGAGGTGATCACGTGTGGGAGGTGATCACGTGGGTGGGAGGTGATTACGTGGGTTGAGGGTAATCACGTGGGTGGGGGATAATTACGTGGGTGGGGGATAATCACGTGGGTGGGGGGTGATCATGTGAGTGGGCGGGAGGTGATAACGTGGGTGGGCATGGGGGCGGGGGGTAATCACGTGGGTGGAGGGTGATCGTGTGGGTGGGGGGTGATCACGTGGGTTGGGGAGGGGGGATTGAGACGAGGCCACGCGGCTGGATGTTGGACATGATAACTGGGCATGCTTACCCTGTGCTTGCACTGCACGGCCTGCATGCTTCCCTCTCACCCTCCACAATATCTGCTCAAGTCCTTCACTTGCGTTGCACTATTCACTGAAAACCCCCACAAAGGAAGCAACGAATGTATTGCACTGACTTGCTATGGTATACAATTGGGGGGCATGGCATGGCATGGCATGAATTGGCTTGCCTTTGCTTGGCTTGGCTGGTCTTGGCATGGCGTGGCATGGCACTGCATGGCATGGCGTGGCATGGCATGGCATGGCATGGCAGGGTGAGTGAGCTGCGAGCAGTGGAGATCCTGGACGGGCTGTGCAAGAAGATGGACAAATACTCCATCGTCACTGTGAGTGCCCAGGGGGCAGCCTTGTCAACCCGTGGGGGCTCCTATGAGTGCCCAAAGAGGGGGGGGGGAGGGTATGGGCCTGTGGGGAGGAAGGCTGCAGGATTTGGTGGTTTTATCAAGCACTATGCATCAAATTGCCCTTCGACTGAAGCACAGTTGACACCGCGGAGCCATCTCGGATTCCTCTTCCTGCCTCGTGTGTTTCGCCTGTGTGGTTGCCCTGTTGGGGCATGGTACAGAAGGACGAGAGGCGGGTGTGGAGCTCCCACCGCGACTATTCTCGATCAGCCAACACTGACAGAAGTGCGCATCACACGTGCCCCTCTCAAACCACCCAAGCACCCCGATATGCACTCTGCCACTCTGATGAAGCAGCACATACATCATCCCTTAGTGTTTTCACCGGTTAACACTCCACACAGCCAAATCTTCCAAACACCCCCTCTCCTCCTCCCCCACCTTTCTCAAGTCGTCTCTTCCCCTTCTCCCCGTGACCCCACTGCCCTCTGGTTGCCCTCGTGAGCGGTGCAGAGAAGCTGATTCGGGAGGAGCAGGGCAAGGAAATCAAGCGGTGGTGTGACAGGTGAGGGCCCAACATGGCCTTTTTAAGTATGCACCTTTTATAGTATGCACCTTTTGGGAATGCGATTTTTCAAAAGCAATTGCACCATGTGCTCTTTCGCTTTCCCCACATGCTCTGGACAGAGTTCGTCCGTTGTATGCTCTGCTTGCTGCTCTCTCTGTTCCTCTCTTCTCTGCCTTCCTCTTCACTCTCTGGTAATCCACTCTTTCTCCTCTCTCTCTCTCTCTCTCTCTCTCTCTCTCTCGCTCTCTCATCTGTGTGCGACTGCAGGGTGCTGGAGGAGTATGAAGACGATGTGAGTGCTATCCTCTCCCCTCTCCCTTCCTCGCATCCCCTCCCTCGCCCTCCCTCTCGCTCACTGTCTCGCGCGCGCGCGCGCACACACACACACACACATGCACGCACGCACCCATGCACGCACACACACACACACCCCCAACCACACCCCGCCACCCCACCCCCACACACACGCTGACACATGCATACCGCATCGCACACAAGCGCACACACAGAGAGGAACGCGCACAAATGCGCACACACACAGAGAGGAACGCGCACAAATGCGCACACACACAGAGAGGAACGCGCACAAATGCGCACACACACAGAGAGGAACGCGCACAAATGCGCACACACACAGAGAGGAACGCGCACAAATGCGCACACACACAGAGAGGAACGCGCACAAATGCGCACACACACAGAGAGGAACGCGCACAAATGCGCACACACACAGAGAGGAACGCGCACAAATGCGCACACACACAGAGAGGAACGCGCACAAATGCGCACACACACAGAGAGGAACGCGCACAAATGCGCACACACACAGAGAGGAACGCGCACAAATGCGCACACACACAGAGAGGAACGCGCACAAATGCGCACACACACAGAGAGGAACGCGCACAAATGCGCACACACACAGAGAGGAACGCGCACAAATGCGCACACACACAGAGAGGAACGCGCACAAATGCGCACACACACAGAGAGGAACGCGCACAAATGCGCACACACACAGAGAGGAACGCGCACAAATGCGCACACACACAGAGAGGAACGCGCACAAATGCGCACACACACAGAGAGGAACGCGCACAAATGCGCACACACACAGAGAGGAACGCGCACAAATGCGCACACACACAGAGAGGAACGCGCACAAATGCGCACACACACAGAGAGGAACGCGCACAAATGCGCACACACACAGAGAGGAACGCGCACAAATGCGCACACACACAGAGAGGAACGCGCACAAATGCGCACACACACAGAGAGGAACGCGCACAAATGCGCACACACACAGAGAGGAACGCGCACAAATGCGCACACACACAGAGAGGAACGCGCACAAATGCGCACACACACAGAGAGGAACGCGCACAAATGCGCACACACACAGAGAGGAACGCGCACAAATGCGCACACACACAGAGAGGAACGCGCACAAATGCGCACACACACAGAGAGGAACGCGCACAAATGCGCACACACACAGAGAGGAACGCGCACAAATGCGCACACACACAGAGAGGAACGCGCACAAATGCGCACACACACAGAGAGGAACGCGCACAAATGCGCACACACACAGAGAGGAACGCGCACAAATGCGCACACACACAGAGAGGAACGCGCACAAATGCGCACACACACAGAGAGGAACGCGCACAAATGCGCACACACACAGAGAGGAACGCGCACAAATGCGCACACACACAGAGAGGAACGCGCACAAATGCGCACACACACAGAGAGGAACGCGCACAAATGCGCACACACACAGAGAGGAACGCGCACAAATGCGCACACACACAGAGAGGAACGCGCACAAATGCGCACACACACAGAGAGGAACGCGCACAAATGCGCACACACACAGAGAGGAACGCGCACAAATGCGCACACACACAGAGAGGAACGCGCACAAATGCGCACACACACAGAGAGGAACGCGCACAAATGCGCACACACACAGAGAGGAACGCGCACAAATGCGCACACACACAGAGAGGAACGCGCACAAATGCGCACACACACAGAGAGGAACGCGCACAAATGCGCACACACACAGAGAGGAACGCGCACAAATGCGCACACACACAGAGAGGAACGCGCACAAATGCGCACACACACAGAGAGGAACGCGCACAAATGCGCACACACACAGAGAGGAACGCGCACAAATGCGCACACACACAGAGAGGAACGCGCACAAATGCGCACACACACAGAGAGGAACGCGCACAAATGCGCACACACACAGAGAGGAACGCGCACAAATGCGCACACACACAGAGAGGAACGCGCACAAATGCGCACACACACAGAGAGGAACGCGCACAAATGCGCACACACACAGAGAGGAACGCGCACAAATGCGCACACACACAGAGAGGAACGCGCACAAATGCGCACACACACAGAGAGGAACGCGCACAAATGCGCACACACACAGAGAGGAACGCGCACAAATGCGCACACACACAGAGAGGAACGCGCACAAATGCGCACACACACAGAGAGGAACGCGCACAAATGCGCACACACACAGAGAGGAACGCGCACAAATGCGCACACACACAGAGAGGAACGCGCACAAATGCGCACACACACAGAGAGGAACGCGCACAAATGCGCACACACACAGAGAGGAACGCGCACAAATGCGCACACACACAGAGAGGAACGCGCACAAATGCGCACACACACAGAGAGGAACGCGCACAAATGCGCACACACACAGAGAGGAACGCGCACAAATGCGCACACACACAGAGAGGAACGCGCACAAATGCGCACACACACAGAGAGGAACGCGCACAAATGCGCACACACACAGAGAGGAACGCGCACAAATGCGCACACACACAGAGAGGAACGCGCACAAATGCGCACACACACAGAGAGGAACGCGCACAAATGCGCACACACACAGAGAGGAACGCGCACAAATGCGCACACACACAGAGAGGAACGCGCACAAATGCGCACACACACAGAGAGGAACGCGCACAAATGCGCACACACACAGAGAGGAACGCGCACAAATGCGCACACACACAGAGAGGAACGCGCACAAATGCGCACACACACAGAGAGGAACGCGCACAAATGCGCACACACACAGAGAGGAACGCGCACAAATGCGCACACACACAGAGAGGAACGCGCACAAATGCGCACACACACAGAGAGGAACGCGCACAAATGCGCACACACACAGAGAGGAACGCGCACAAATGCGCACACACACAGAGAGGAACGCGCACAAATGCGCACACACACAGAGAGGAACGCGCACAAATGCGCACACACACAGAGAGGAACGCGCACAAATGCGCACACACACAGAGAGGAACGCGCACAAATGCGCACACACACAGAGAGGAACGCGCACAAATGCGCACACACACAGAGAGGAACGCGCACAAATGCGCACACACACAGAGAGGAACGCGCACAAATGCGCACACACACAGAGAGGAACGCGCACAAATGCGCACACACACAGAGAGGAACGCGCACAAATGCGCACACACACAGAGAGGAACGCGCACAAATGCGCACACACACAGAGAGGAACGCGCACAAATGCGCACACACACAGAGAGGAACGCGCACAAATGCGCACACACACAGAGAGGAACGCGCACAAATGCGCACACACACAGAGAGGAACGCGCACAAATGCGCACACACACAGAGAGGAACGCGCACAAATGCGCACACACACAGAGAGGAACGCGCACAAATGCGCACACACACAGAGAGGAACGCGCACAAATGCGCACACACACAGAGAGGAACGCGCACAAATGCGCACACACACAGAGAGGAACGCGCACAAATGCGCACACACACAGAGAGGAACGCGCACAAATGCGCACACACACAGAGAGGAACGCGCACAAATGCGCACACACACAGAGAGGAACGCGCACAAATGCGCACACACACACAGAGGAACGCGCACAAATGCGCACACACACACAGAGGAACGCGCACAAATGCGCACACACACAGAGAGGAACGCGCACAAATGCGCACACACACAGAGAGGAACGCGCACAAATGCGCACACACACAGAGAGGAACGCGCACAAATGCGCACACACACAGAGAGGAACGCCCACAAATGCGCACACACACAGAGAGGAACGCGCACAAATGCGCACACACACAGAGAGGAACGCGCACAAATGCGCACACACACAGAGAGGAACGCCCACAAATGCGCACACACACAGAGAGGAACGCGCACAAATGCGCACACACACAGAGAGGAACGCGCACAAATGCGCACACACACAGAGAGGAACGCGCACAAATGCGCACACACACAGAGAGGAACGCGCACAAATGCGCACACACACAGAGAGGAACGCGCACAAATGCGCACACACACAGAGAGGAACGCGCACAAATGCGCACACACACAGAGAGGAACGCGCACAAATGCGCACACACACAGAGAGGAACGCGCACAAATGCGCACACACACAGAGAGGAACGCGCACAAATGCGCACACACACAGAGAGGAACGCGCACAAATGCGCACACACACAGAGAGGAACGCGCACAAATGCGCACACACACAGAGAGGAACGCGCACAAATGCGCACACATACAGAGAGGAACGCGCACAAATGCGCACACACACAGAGAGGAACGCGCACAAATGCGCACACACACACAGAGGAACGCGCACAAATGCGCACACACACACAGAGGAACGCGCACAAATGCGCACACACACAGAGAGGAACGCCCACAAATGCGCACACACACAGAGAGGAACGCCCACAAATGCGCACACACACAGAGAGGAACGCGCACAAATGCGCACACACACAGAGAGGAACGCGCACAAATGCGCACACACACAGAGAGGAACGCGCACAAATGCGCACACACACAGAGAGGAACGCGCACAAATGCGCACACACACAGAGAGGAACGCGCACAAATGCGCACACACACAGAGAGGAACGCGCACAAATGCGCACACACACAGAGAGGAACGCGCACAAATGCGCACACACACAGAGAGGAACGCGCACAAATGCGCACACACACAGAGAGGAACGCGCACAAATGCGCACACACACAGAGAGGAACGCCCACAAATGCGCACACACACAGAGAGGAACGCGCACAAATGCGCACACACACAGAGAGGAACGCGCACAAATGCGCACACACACAGAGAGGAACGCGCACAAATGCGCACACACACAGAGAGGAACGCGCACAAATGCGCACACACACAGAGAGGAACGCGCACAAATGCGCACACACACAGAGAGGAACGCGCACAAATGCGCACACACACAGAGAGGAACGCGCACAAATGCGCACACACACAGAGAGGAACGCGCACAAATGCGCACACACACAGAGAGGAACGCGCACAAATGCGCACACACACAGAGAGGAACGCGCACAAATGCGCACACACACAGAGAGGAACGCCCACAAATGCGCACACACACAGAGAGGAACGCGCACAAATGCGCACACACACAGAGAGGAACGCGCACAAATGCGCACACACACAGAGAGGAACGCGCACAAATGCGCACACACACAGAGAGGAACGCGCACAAATGCGCACACACACAGAGAGGAACGCGCACAAATGCGCACACACACAGAGAGGAACGCCCACAAATGCGCACACACACAGAGAGGAACGCGCACAAATGCGCACACACACAGAGAGGAACGCGCACAAATGCGCACACACACAGAGAGGAACGCGCACAAATGCGCACACACACAGAGAGGAACGCGCACAAATGCGCACACACACAGAGAGGAACGCGCACAAATGCGCACACACACAGAGAGGAACGCGCACAAATGCGCACACACACAGAGAGGAACGCGCACAAATGCGCACACACACAGAGAGGAACGCGCACAAATGCGCACACACACAGAGAGGAACGCGCACAAATGCGCACACACACAGAGAGGAACGCGCACAAATGCGCACACACACAGAGAGGAACGCGCACAAATGCGCACACACACAGAGAGGAACGCGCACAAATGCGCACACACACAGAGAGGAACGCGCACAAATGCGCACACACACAGAGAGGAACGCGCACAAATGCGCACACACACAGAGAGGAACGCGCACAAATGCGCACACACACAGAGAGGAACGCGCACAAATGCGCACACACACAGAGAGGAACGCGCACAAATGCGCACACACACAGAGAGGAACGCCCACAAATGCGCACACACACAGAGAGGAACGCCCACAAATGCGCACACACACAGAGAGGAACGCGCACAAATGCGCACACACACAGAGAGGAACGCGCACAAATGCGCACACACACAGAGAGGAACGCGCACAAATGCGCACACACACAGAGAGGAACGCGCACAAATGCGCACACACACAGAGAGGAACGCGCACAAATGCGCACACACACAGAGAGGAACGCGCACAAATGCGCACACACACAGAGAGGAACGCGCACAAATGCGCACACACACAGAGAGGAACGCGCACAAATGCGCACACACACAGAGAGGAACGCGCACAAATGCGCACACACACAGAGAGGAACGCGCACAAATGCGCACACACACAGAGAGGAACGCGCACAAATGCGCACACACACAGAGAGGAACGCGCACAAACGCGCACACACACAGAGAGGAACGCGCACAAATGCGCACACACACAGAGAGGAACGCGCACAAATGCGCACACACACAGAGAGGAACGCGCACAAATGCGCACACACACAGAGAGGAACGCGCACAAATGCGCACACACACAGAGAGGAACGCGCACAAATGCGCACACACACAGAGAGGAACGCGCACAAATGCGCACCCACACAGAGAGGAACGCGCACAAATGCGCACACACACAGAGAGGAACGCGCACAAATGCGCACACACACAGAGAGGAACGCGCACAAATGCGCACACACACAGAGAGGAACGCGCACAAATGCGCACACACACAGAGAGGAACGCGCACAAATGCGCACACACACAGAGAGGAACGCGCACAAATGCGCACACACACAGAGAGGAACGCGCACAAATGCGCACACACACAGAGAGGAACGCGCACAAATGCGCACACACACACAGAGGAACGCGCACAAATGCGCACACACACAGAGAGGAACGCGCACAAATGCGCACACACACAGAGAGGAACGCGCACAAATGCGCACACACACAGAGAGGAACGCGCACAAATGCGCACACACACAGAGAGGAACGCGCACAAATGCGCACACACACAGAGAGGAACGCGCACAAATGCGCACACACACAGAGAGGAACGCGCACAAATGCGCACACACACAGAGAGGAACGCGCACAAATGCGCACACACACAGAGAGGAACGCGCACAAATGCGCACACACACAGAGAGGAACGCGCACAAATGCGCACACACACAGAGAGGAACGCGCACAAATGCGCACACACACAGAGAGGAACGCGCACAAATGCGCACACACACAGAGAGGAACGCGCACAAATGCGCACACACACAGAGAGGAACGCGCACAAATGCGCACACACACAGAGAGGAACGCGCACAAATGCGCACACACACAGAGAGGAACGCGCACAAATGCGCACACACACAGAGAGGAACGCGCACAAATGCGCACACACACAGAGAGGAACGCGCACAAATGCGCACACACACAGAGAGGAACGCGCACAAATGCGCACACACACAGAGAGGAACGCGCACAAATGCGCACACACACAGAGAGGAACGCGCACAAATGCGCACACACACAGAGAGGAACGCGCACAAATGCGCACACACACAGAGAGGAACGCGCACAAATGCGCACACACACAGAGAGGAACGCGCACAAAGCCCCAGCTGTGCCCCACCTGGCGCCGTCTTCCCCACCCATGTTGAAGCACAGATCACGGCACAGCTGCGGTCAGGCGACCTGAACATGGACGCGGACGTGCCGGCGCTGCTGTGTGCGCGCATCACAGGCAGCTGCAAGGCCAAGGCGCTGCAGCGCGAGGTGCTCGCTGCCGATGATGGCTCCTCGCCCTCCTCCGGGTGAGTGCCCGCACTGGGATGGGAATCGCACCACCCTCCTGGGTGGGTGAGTGCACGAAACAGCTACTTCCTTGTGAACACGGGCTATGGAATCTGTAAGAGAATGCTTATCAAGGTGTTTTCGTGGGGGAGGCTTCATTGAAATGTCCTTTGAGACGGCTCAGAAGCCAGTTCTGCTTGCAGTGTGTGTGTTGTTTCGTGGGTTGTCGTGCGCCGTCTGCAGCAATCTCCACAGCTACACACACATCCCACAGTCTAGGAGCACAGAAGCTTGCAACCCCTGCCAATCCCATGGATTGGATACCCTCCTGCACACCCGCTCTCCTTACACCATCTCCTGCTGCCGTCCCGTCCCACCCTCCTCCGCTTCTCCCATTCCCATGGTTCTCCCATTCCCATGGTTCTCCCATTCCCATGGTTCTCCCATTCCCATGGTTCTCCCATTCCCATGGTTCTCCCACCTCCCTCTCCCCACCTTATCGTGCCCACGCGCCATGTGCAACCATGTCACGACTCCCTGCCATCAGAGTGAGCGCCACCATATCGCCATCCACGGGTGGCGGCCTCGTGGATGTGACCGACGAGCAGGGCACCTCGGGTGCTGATGCAAGTGACAAGGCTGGGGAGGCAGCAGCAGAAGCAGTGGATGAGTTATGAGGACTGGTCCCGTATGTTGGGTAAAGCATGGCTGGTGGTGTGGCGTATGGTCGGATGCCTGTGAAACGGCTCGCAAAAACTATTTGAAAACAATGGTTATTTCGGAACATCAGTCATGCATTCACATGGGAATCTGGTACCTTGGCAGAAGTAACCCTCGCCATAATCTCTGCAAAGTGCAAGCCAAGGGCTTGCCAACGCGGATGGACTAGCAATGCATGCTTATATCGTCATGTGGATTGTCGCATATGCAAGGATCAACACGTAAATCTCAAAAGCTACCGTACCGTAGATCTTGATATGTACATTCCAACTACCAAAAAAGAAACGGAAAGAAGTTTCCCAACTCTCAGGTGCTGAGGTGAACCCAACACATATACCGTACTTCACCACATTCCTGCATGCACTGCACAAGTGCACTACACAAGCAGCAGCCCACCACCCAGCTCACTGCCTGCTGCGTCACGCATCCAGCTCGTCCTCCAGGTGCTGGTACTCAAACATGAAGTCGTCCTTCACACGCTGACACCTGGCAGCACGGCAGGGCGACACGTGGCAGGAGGTGCGGGGTGGAGGGGGGAGGACGGAGGGGAGGGGGGCTTGTTGCACTGACGTCACAGTTGCGAACTAGAGGGGGCAAACTTGCAAAACGCAGTTTGCAGAGGACGGTAAGGAGGACAAGGAGGAGGAAGAAGATAGAATAGAACATGCAGATGAACATGAAGAGAAGAGGACTAAGACGAGGAAGAGCAGAAGAAGAGGAGGGTGCGGAGGGGCTGACCAGCCCGTGGAGACACCAGGCTGTGCGTCGGAGGGGTGCGGGGCGTGCAGGTGGAAGTCAAAGTACACATAGCCTCCCCTCTCGTACTCCTCTGTGATCACCTTCGGTTAGCGCAAGAGAGGAGGGCGGGGGATGGGGAGGAAGGGGAGCCAAAATAGAAATTCCATTCTGCTGTTCCGATGATTCTACCTGCCACCACATTGACATGGAAGTCTAGTTGAGAGAGAGAGAGGGCAGTATAAGCAGCATCAGGGCAGGCAGCGGGGGCTCACAGGCGGGGTGACGTGGCGCTGGAACCAGGTGTTGTAGCCCTTGTGGAAGCGCCACAACTGCTTCTTGAGCTCCCTGGCCGCCAGGTACTGCATGTACGTGCTCTGTGCCATGCCGCACCGCATAACATAACAAATCGGGATGAGGGAGTGAGGGAGTGGCGCGAGAATTTCAAAGCGGCACAGGAGGGGATGACTGGGTGGATGGCAAGGTGCGGGGACACATGCATGCAATGGCAAGTGATCGCCCTTGTGGGGGCTTGCATAACACATGATGCGAGCAAGACAGGAAGGGGAGTGAAAGGGCGAGCGGGAGAGTGAGGGAGTGGGAGAGCAGGAGAGAGAGAGCGACCTGTTGGAAGTAGAAGGCAAAGAAGAGCGCGTCCATGCCCAGGCGCTCAAAGAGCGCCCGCGCATGCTCCGGTGCGATGGGCTTGTGCGGCCACATGGCTGGCACCTCACACGGGCGCACCGGCCGCACCACTGCACTCGGTGCACTGCTGGTGGGGTGGGGGAGAGAGAGCGGAGGACGGGCGGAGGGTGAGCGGAGGGAGGGGGAAGACATAGCAAAGGGAGAGGGGAGAGAGTGTGGAGAGGCTGGAGGGGGAAGAGTGAGTGAGCAGGAATGTGGTGCAGGGAAGGACTAAGGGCCAGGTGAAGGTGTGGTGTGGGTGGAAGGTGTCCCTCAAGGCTTCAACGAGGGCTGTCTGCAGCAAGTCACATGCATCTAATCCCCTCACCACCCATTCCCACCTGCTCTGCCTCTGCCCTCTCCCATCCCTCATTCTCCCTTCTCCCTCCCCACTCCCCACTCCCCACTCCCCTTCATCACCCGCCACTATCCCCTCCCCCCTCCACCCTTCGCCCCTACCCCCCTCTCCCCTCCGCCCTCGGCCCTGGGCCCAGCACGAGCATGCGCACCTGCTCGTGAGCACGCGGTCATCCATGCCATGGTCGCGCATCTGCTGGAACCCACACAGCAGCGCACTCCGCTCCTCCTCCCGCCGCCGCTCCACCCCCCATGCTGCTGCCCCGCACACAGGAGGGAATGGGGTGGGGAACACGCAGCACCACTATTAATTTTGAGGCGCCTCAACAGTCGACTCTCCACCTACATTTTTTAGTGAGGGGCAACTCAAGAGTCACGTACCCTTCTTTTATGAATCCGCCCGCCCTACCTGCTGCACGGCGCATCAGTGGAAATGGGGAACACACAGCACAGCCCAGACACAACCCGCCACCCACCGTGCCGCCCCACCACCCACCTTGGTGCCCCGCAGAGTGCGCATGGGCAAGTATCACACAGCAATTCATGCATGTCCACACACTACAGCCAATTAGAAACCGCAGGCACCGCAGCAGTGGGCATGGCAAGTGGAGTGACCTGGCGGCAGCAGCACGCACCTGGAGAGGGTGTTCGTGCCGTGGGACCCCCCACTCCACCCGCCCCTGCACTCACAACCCCTCCCCCTCCTGCTGCCGCTGCTGCTGTGCCTGGAGCTTGTGGCAGTGCTGCTCTTCCTCCTCCTGCTGCTGCTCCTACTCCTCCTCCTGCTCCTCCTGCTCTGCCCCACACTGGTTGCATCTGTGCACCTGCAGCAGCAGCACGAAAGGCAGCAGCAGCACCAGCAGCACTAGCAGCAGCAGCAGCAGGAGGCATCCCACCCGGATGGCCCCCAGCAGCTGCCCCTGCTGCTGCCGCCACTGATGCTGCAGCAGCCAGCGACGTGGCTTGCAACAGTGATGGGGACGGGGACAGGGAAGGGGAGGGGGATGGCGAGGGGGAGGGGGCAGGCCCACCACTGCCCCCCAACGGAACACCCCATGCAGAGGGAGGCCGCATAGGGGCAGGGGGCGGAGCCTGTGACAGCCCCGTCACGGGCATGGATTGGGTGCGGTCAAGTGCGGTGAGGGAGGGGTGGTTGGGGAGCAGTGGGAGGGGTTGCGGTGCCTGGTTGGCCTGCACTGGTGCCCGCACCTGCTGTGGCTGCACCAGCTGGGACGACTGGAACATCTGCTGCGCCTGCACCCTCTCCTGCTGCTGCTGCGCCAGCTGCTGCTGCTGCTGCTGCTGCGCCAGCTGCTGCTGCTGCTGCTGCTGCTGCTGCTGCTGCTGCTGCTGCAGCTTGTGAGAGGCAAGAGCCATCTGCTGCGCCTGCTGAGCCAGCAGGCTCTGCTGCAGCGATGGCAGCACACCTCCCTGGGCCCCCGGGTGCACTGGCAACTGCCGTAACAGCGCCTGCTGCTGCTGCACCTGCTGCGCCTGCTGTTGCTGCTGAGCGAGGAGCGGCAGTGCAGCATGCTGCTGCATGAGGTGCTGGTGCTGCAGCTTCTGCATCAGCACTCGCGAAAGGCTGGGAGGCACCTGCTGCAGCGCAGCAGGCATGTCTGCAGGCGCTCTCTGCCACGCCCCTGCTGCCGCCCCCAGCGGTGCACCAGCAGCTGCAGCTGCACCACCACCAACACCGCCAGCAGCAGCAGCAGCAGCAGCAGCAGCAGCAGCAGCAATAGCAGCAGGAGCAGAAGCGACACCCTGAAGGTCATTCTGGCTCATCCCTCTACTCATCCTTCCCGGTTGAACCAGTGACGAATGCCCACCTCCCAGCAGCGCCACTCCGTGCTGCCCTGCCCCTGCTACTCCAGCTGCCCATGCCCCCTGCTGCCGCCCATCCAAAGCCCCTGAGGGAAACGCCCCACCTGCCCCAGCTCCCCTGATCGTATTAGGGGTTAGTGGGGCGCCCTGGGAGGTGAGCGTTCCCCCTGACGCGGCTGCCGGTGGGGGGAGAACGGGGGCGGAGGTGGGGAGGTATGCAGTGGCGACGCCAGTAGCAGCAGCCTCAATGGGGTTTGGGGGTTCAGCAGCAAGGGAGTCTAGGGAGTCTGGGAGGACGGGTAAGTCCACTGTGATTGCAGACGCTGCTCGCCGCAGCAGCAGCGATGAATGCTTGCCTGCAGCAAGTACGGCGCACAGGGAGGAGGCATGACAAGCCATGGCAGTTAGCCCGAGGGGGCGCAACAGCAGGTGCGGGCACAAACGGAATCACACAGTAGCGGCTAAGCTTTGACAAACGGTCGTGGCTCTGCTGGCCCACAGCACATGTGGCGATTTGTACTGCGAGAACGCAAGCAAAGAAGCCCGCCAGGAAGCACGCAAAGGAAGCGAGCAAGTACAGGTTAAGAGACTCCGCACAGGTACCACGAGTGGCTCACCTTCAGCTGCTCCAGGGCTGGACGGGCCAGCAGACGAAGGTCTGGACAGCAGCAGCTCCGAGGGGAGGGCGGGGGTATCTTGAGTGCGCGCATGAACGCTACTGCTGCTGCCCTCCGCCCCACCCTCTGCACCAGCGCCCTTGCCATGCACACCTCCTCCAACCACAGCAGCAGCAGCAGCCGCAGCAGCACCTGCAGCAGCGGCAGTGGCAGCAGCAGCGACGGTTGTTTTAGTGAGCCGGTCCTTCCCAGGAGCGGGTGCAGGTGCGGGTGCTGCTCCCTGCCCCCTCTCCTGCTGCAACAACCCGCCGCTCCTTCCCACACCCGCAGCACCAGCACCAGCAGCACCAGCACCAGCTGCAGCAGCCCCAGAGGAGTCCGAGGCAGCGGCAGCAGCAGCGAGTGCAGCAGAGCGGATGGACGTGAGCGAGCGCAGAAACGCAATGCTCCCACCCATGTCCCCCCTCCCCACCGCCCCTCCCGCCTCCTTCTCCCGCCGCTCCTCCCTCTCCCCACCCCCACCCGCCTGTGCCTTCTCTACGCTCTTCCCCACCAGACTACTCCCACCAACACTGCCACCTACTTTCCCCATCAGACTACCAGCGCTGCTGCTACTCTTATCCAGCATTGCGCTACTCTCGACTCCTAATCTCCCTGCCTTCCTTCTCCCTGCGTCCCGTGCGCCCGTGGCAGCTTCCTTCCCCTCCGCTTCATCCCCCACCACCACTGGTTTCTCCGCCTGGACGGCCTTTGCAATGGATGCTTCTGCACACGGGCGGTTTGCAGGGAAAAGAAACACGGCAACCAGATTCAGCTTCGGAACGGGACAAGAATGAGCGGGAAGTTGTTCTTGAGAACTAGCAGAAGACATCACGGAGTCAAGGTTGAGGCGCAGAAACACATGAAACGCGACTCGGTATGTATGAAAGCCAGAGCAACCCACCAGGCACACCTTTCTCCCGCGCTCCACCCTTGCGCTTCGCTTCTCCCTCCCCGGCCTCCTCATCCCCCAGTTGGATTGACAGAGGTGACGACTGCGCGGATCCCCTCACTTCCCACCCCGCCTCCCCACCAGCCCCCTTCCCCGCCCCACCGCCCCCCTCCTTGCCTCCGCCTCGCCCTCCCACTCCCCCTTCCTGCCGATCCGCCTCCCCCTCCGCCTTCGCTTTCCCCTTCATCTCCCCTTCTCCACCACCTGCTTGGTCTACCCCCTTGCGCTGGGCTCGAAACGACGCCGAGAAATGGCGCTCTGGAGCAGCAGAAATGCCGGCAGAGACACGCGAGAGAGGGCTGCTCGTGGCGCTGCTGCTGGTGCCCGTGGTGGTGCTTGTAGCAGGTTCAAAAACGGTAGGCAGCGGTGAGAAGGGCTTGAGGGGCGAGGAGGCGAGGAGGGATGCGGAGGGGGAGGGGGAAAGGGGGGAGGGGGAGAGGGGGGAGGTGTCGAGCCTGGGGTCCTTGCGCGGGCTGGACAGGGCAGATGGCAGACGTGCTGCTGGGGGAGGGGGGAGGGGGGAAGGACGGGAAAGGGGAAGGGGGTTGGACCGCGTAATACGTTGGCTGGTTGGTATGATGAGCCAGGATACACAATTGAAACAGGGGCAGGGGTTTGACAGACAGGCATGGATTGACATACCTTTCACTTTCCCGATCTGAGGGCTGGCAAGCTCCTGAACAGAGACAGCACACAGCAGCACACATGCGTCAGTCCCTGCCATCGCCTAGAGAACGCTTCCAGCAACAACAACTTCAACCGAATAGAGACAGGCAGTTCCGTCTAGTGGTGTGACGTGACGAAATTACAGAAATGGGAAAGTTGAGTCGCCTCAAAGGTCACACCCATCGAACAGGAGAGGGGTGGAGGGGGTTGGGAATTGTATCAACTTAAGAGTAATTGAGAAGGAGCAGGAGTGGGGGGTGGGGGAAACGGGCACCTTGGGTGGGGAGTCGTGGGTGGAGGAGAAGGGCGAGGAGGAGGCCGAGGTGTGTGGACTCATAGACGCCGTGGGCGTGCGGGAACCTGCACGGCGACAGTCCCAAGGCGCACGGCACAGCAGAGTATATCAGAAAATAAGAACTTACAAGCTCCTTTCTCTTCAGAGGCAGCAACATAGGAAAACCATGAGAGTATGGCCACCAGGCATGAAGCTGTGTTGTCAGTGCGGTGCGGTGCGGTGACTCACTGGTGGAGAAGGCGGCGGAGTCGTCGTTGAGCTTGCCAAAGAGCTTGTGGAAAGGCATGTCATCGTACAGCGCATCGTCTGCCATGTAGTCCTCGTCCTGGTGGAGGGGACACCGCCACACACACACACACACACACACACACACACACACACTGTTAAGATAACAAAAGGATCATGCTCGCACGGAGGATACACGGATCGTGTGTGTCGGTGCGTGTGATATTTGAGATGTGCTGTGTGTGGGAGGAGGCCATTGGCACCTGGTGCATGTCGAGGTACCAGGAGATGCTCTCCTTGAGTGCTTCCACGTCCTCTGGCGCGATCTCCTCGTTCTCCAACAGCCGCAGCACCTGCAGTGCACCGCACCCCCCGCCATGCCCAGCCCACACTCTTCAGTCAGCCTCACATGCAGCTGCCATGTGCATGGTGCCACGTGCATGGTGCCACGTGGATGGTGCCACGTGGGTGGTGCCACGTGGATGGTGCCATGTGCATGGTGCCATGTGCATGGTGCCATGTGCATGATGGCATGTGCATGGTGCCATGTGCATGATGGCATGTGCATGATGGCATGTGCATGGTGCCATGTGCATGGTGGCATGTGCATGATGACACCATACAGCTTCACACCATTGCAGACCACTTGCCTGATCCAACTTGGTCTTGTGCCAGCCATGCTGCAGGGAAGGAACGGGTAACAAGGAAGGCGGAGGGGCAGCTGTTAGCCATGAAAACTGGTTCCAGCACCCGCACCCCCATGCCCCCATACCCGTATACCAGCATAAGCCTGTAAATTCAGGACGTTTTAGCAGGAACGAGTTGGAAACATACAATAGACAGATTCATGACTTTCTAGCACCTGCACTTCACATACCTTTGAGAAATCTCCAGATAAGTTGGAAGCTACAGCATGCTTCCCACAGGGGCCGCCCATCATACCTTGGTGACGTGGCCTTCCAGCTCCAGCACCTTGGCGTTGAGCTTCTTCCCCGTCTTGCCGCCTGCCAGCCCCAGTGGGGAAGTGCATTCCCAGGTGATGAGGGCCATAGTGTAAGCGAAAGGAATGGAGTGTTTGTGCGCGGTAAGAGCGGTAGGAGCAATGGGCACGCTGGGCACGCTGGGAGCGTTGGAAGTGGTGGGTGGGTGTAGGTAGCGGTACCTGATATGGTTTCAATCTCCGCCTCGTACTCATCGATCTGCACCTGCAGAGAATCCATTGACTGACCGCCACACACACACCAGAACAACGGATAGTCATGCTTAGAACCACCAGCCCCAAAAGAATGAATCCAGAGATCTGTAGCGAACATTTGCAAGCAGACAAGCACAAAGGCAAGAAAACACAGAAACGCAGAAGCAGACAAGCACAGAAGCATGCAACTGACCTTCTTCAGAAACGCAGCTGCCTCCACTTTTGCCTTCTCCGATGGGTCCTTCCGGGGCTGCCACACTCACAGCACAGCGCACACACACACACACACACACACACACACACACACACCACTCACCACATGCGAACGCCAGGAGCAGGCTTGAGAATGCTCGGGCTTGGAAAGGCTCAAAGTGCGCACGCGAACGCCACGGGCAGGCACAACAATTAAAGCAATGTCACGCTGATACGACAAAAACAACAACGATGATGCTGTTGAATCATCAGCACCACTTTAAATTCTGGACGTGGCAGGGTCAGCAGTAGCGCCAGCAGCAGTAGCAGCAGCAGGAGCAGCACGCATGCACCTGTTGCACAAGTCCTTCCTTGGAGAAGGCCTTGATCTTGCTGGCCTTCTCGCACTGCTTGAACCGCTCCATCTCCACCTCTATCTGTCGCCGCGCCGCCTCCAGCTCCTCCAGATGCGCCTTCGCCTCGCTCGTTGACAGCCATGACCGGATCTGGTCGCGCACACTGCCGGGAATAGCCGGGACAGGGATCGGGACTTGGAATTGAGACCAGGACTGGCACCGGAGTTGGGACTGGAAACCAGGGGATTGGCGTGAACTTGGCAGCTTAAAGCGGTGCTGCCGACCAGGCCCACTTCCATCAGTGGAGATTTAACAAGCATATGAAAAAAGGACTTACAGATAGATCGGACTGTTTCCCAGCCTCCATGTCTAGGTCGCAACCAGAAACCGACCTCAAAACGACCGGAAGCCGACTGGAACCGACTAGAAACATACCAGGCACCGATCAGACGGGCGTGGGTGCAGCGGCTGGCTTACCGTTGGAGGCGCTTGAGCTCTTTCTTCAGCTCCCCCTCGAACTTCTCCTTCTTCGTCACCTGCTCGCCGCACCACACGCACCGCCACCCGTCGTCAGTGGTACTCCCTAACATAATAAACAAAAAAATAAACTACTCTATATAATTTCCGTGTGGTTCGTGCGTACATCAGTGGCCTCGTCCATCTTCTGCCACGTGGACTGGAACTCGTCAATCCCCTCCTGGACTCGCTTCAGCGTACGTTCCATCTCCAGGTGCATCTTCCTTGACGCCGCCATGGCGGGCCGCGCTCTGCTGGACAGCAGCAGCACCAGCCACAATCCCGCTCACGAATTGGTAATTGCGGTGAACGATCTGACGCAAAAGTCCCCGCGGAGACCTCCAACCTCGATAGTAACAACGCTCGCGAACTGAGCGAACGGAACGAACGGCGTGCGAAACGGTACGAATAGGAGGTGCAGAAGGCAAGGAGGGTTCGGGATAATAAACCTCCATACTCTCGCTCTCTTTCCCCCTTCCCCAGTGCGTGCGTGAGGCTGCGCGCCATCCTTGGGTGGCGAGCTGCACGTGACGGACGCCCTCTGGTGCTGCGCAGTTCGAAAGGCACCACAGAGGCGCGCGGCAGTCCCAGGGTGACCCCAAAGCACGCCCGTTCAGGAAAACCTGCACTAGCTTTTCTCTCCTGCTATCGACCCCCCAAGAAGGCTCACGCCAAACCGCACTGCACTGATCGGCTCGCCGCGTCACCATATCCACTCGCAGGAACCCAGAGAGAATCCAACCCCAAGAGAGCCCAAAGCAGGTGCTCGCGGCGAGAGTAGGGAAAACTCCTCCTGCCTCCCTGCAAGCCGAATTGCCACCATTCGCTCGTTTGCATGCAGTCTGGCGTGTGGCTTAGCGCGCTGTAGGCTGGCGTCGCGGTATGGATGCTGCTGATTGGAGGATTCAGGAATTGGGTTGGATCCAACTATTTATCAAATGTCTAGCTAGATCAACAGACAAGTAGACACATTCTATCTAATATTTAGACAAATCAAGCACAAAGCAATTACCTAAAATACAGCCCAAAACCTTATGGTTTGAGGAAATGACAACTGTGCTAGACTTGAACCTTATGACGCAATACCAAAACATATTAAAGAAATAAGCAGTACCGTATCAACGACCCCATGGATGAAACGACTTGGTACCAGCAGCCGCCACCCTCTTAAGTTGACTTGGAGGATGACATATGGGAATCAGGATGACATCATTTCAAGAAGGTGGTCGGGCCCATGCCCATCCCCATCCACTTGGCCCGCCTGAGCTTCACGCAGCAGCTCCTCCAAGAGAACCCCATAATCCACCCCCCCCCCTCCCCCATCACCCGGCTGAAGCTGCTGCAGCTGCTGCAGCTGTGACAGCCTCAGCGCCTTTGCATGCTCCTGCGCCTCATTCCGCATCCGAGCCTGCTGCTGCTGGCTCTGCTGGTGCTGCAGGAACATCAGCTGCCCTGTGGAAAGAAACGGACTCGCATCCTGCAGAGGTGCACAGGCTCGCTCTGCTTTCACCTGCTCCTGCTGCAGCCGCAGCTCCTGCCGCAACTCCTGCTCCTGCTGCTGCAGCAGCAACAGCTCCCTCTCCTGAGACAAACCAACTCCACCATCCGCTACAGCACTACTCCCCAGGCCCGTGCCAGCGTTCGTCGCTGCACCAAGCCCCGTGGGAACGGCATTGGCAGCGCCGGCAGCAGATAAAGCGAAGGCTCCTTTGGGCTTGCAGGGAGGCATTGTCCCTGAGAGCATGTCTGCAATGCCCGCCGCGCCCTGGACTTCCTTGATCGACTCCAAGTAGCTCTGCCGCACCACTGACAGGTTGAACGCCTCACACGCCGCCGCCCCAGCAGAGGTGCCGCCAGCACCGGCAGTGGCAGCAGTGGCAGTGAGCGAAGGAGACGCCGAGCGCATGGTGCCTACCGAGTGCCCGCCACCGATGGGGGCCCTGCCATCTGCGGAGGGCAGGCAGGGGCCCCCAGGCAGCCCTGCAGTGAGCGCTCCCACCGAGTCAGCAGCCCCACCCGGGCCGATCCACAGCCCTGCACCCGCTGCACTCCTCCATGCGTCCGCGCCCACACGACTCCGCCCGCCTTCCCCTGCAGCCGCGGCAGCAGAGGCGGACGAAGCGGACAGGGCAGCAGGATCCATGCCCGAGTCGCCGCCCACGCACGCTGCAAAGGCGTCAGCGTGGAAAGAGGGGGAGTCGGAGCCAACAGGCTGGGAGATCCAGTCAAACAGCCCGTCCACGGACGTGGGAAACCCGAACGCGCCGGCATTGCTGCCCGCGAGCGCTGAGGGATCCGCGTGCTGCTGCTGCGCCTGCAGATGCCGCCGCTGCTTCGCGTGCAGCTGAGCCTGCAGCCCGCCCACCACGCTGCTCAGCGCCGTCGCGTCGGGCAGAGTCGCAGCGGCCGCGTCAGGTGCGTTGCGGTGGAGAGCGGTGGGCGCCGTGGCTGCAGCGTGAAGCAGGGAGGGCTGCGGCGGGGAGGGTACGGGGGGAAGGCCGAGCGCCTTCATGAGCTGGCGCACATTGGCCGCGGAGCTCCCAAGGGGCGGAGAGGCGGAGCCCCCCGAGTGCGCACCAGGAGCTCCCCCTGCCGAGCCATGTCCGTGCCTACGCCGCAGCTTCGCCAGCAGGTTCGGCACAGAGTGGTTCGGCAGCGTGTGGTGCTTGCGAAGGGAGGCGTGCTGGAGAGGGCTGTTGCTGCGCCGCTGGCCGTGGGCGGAAGGGCCCGCGGGGGGCAGGGGGAACTGCGCGGGGGGGACCTCCGCGGCGGGCGCGGCGGAAGCAGTGGCAGAAGGAAGCGAGGGCGCGGTGGCGTCGAGACCGAGCATGTTGCAGAGATTGCTGCGCGGACGAGAGAGAGGGGGTACAATGGGGGAGGAGAGAGGAGAGAGGGGAGCGCACAGGCACGCCCAGGGACAGGAGAGCAAATGGTGAGGCGATATACAGAGGAGGTTATAAAGGCCGGAAAAGACGGGCGGGATACATGGGCAACCACGAGACGGAAGTGGTAGAGATCGAGCAATAAATCCTCCGCGACTCGCGCTTACCGCATATTAGCGGACGGAAGAGCCCTGCACGCCGCGCGCGGAAGACCCTCGGATGCGGTCTCCTGATACGCGCTCGCGGCGCGAGGAATGGCTGACGCGGATAATCCAAGCCCCGTGCGTCTTCCGTCGGAGTGCCGCGGCGCTGAAACAGCTGACGTGGATGCAGACGGATTAGTCGCCGCCGGCGCGGTCGCCGTCGCCGCCACCCCTGCGACGTCCATGTCGACGTCGCCACCCCCAGTCGTCGCAGTGCTCCCGCCAGGCGTGCCAGTCGCAGACCCCCCGCACGTCGACTTGCCATCCACCGACATAGCGCGCGGCGCGCCCGCGCCGTCCGCGGCGGAGACCAGTGATGCGCCATAGGCTCCCTGCGGGGACGTATCCCCGCGGAGCGGCGAACGCGCCGCAGAGACAAACCGGCGGAGGCGCTTCATGTCGGAAAGATCGCCACAGGCAGCAGCCGCGGATGCCGCCGCGCCGGCCGCCATAAAGCTCCCGCCTTCCGACAGCGCCCGCTTGTGGCTGAGCCCCGTGGTCTCCCATTCCAGCCCCGACTGCGCTCCGCCCGTCGCGCCGCACGCCCCGGTCGCGGACGCTGACCCCCGCGCGCTCATATCGAACAGCGCTGGCGGCCGCAGGACCTCCGCGGAACCCGCCTGCTCGCCATCCGCGTCGTCGTCGGGGACGCACGGTTCCAGAGTGGTGCTTCCGCACCCGCCGCTGCCGCGCCCGGTTCCGCTGCACGTAGCGGAGGCCAGCCCGGGTATCTCCTGCTGCGTCTTCGGCTCGTCGTTGGCGCTCCGCACCTCCGCGCTTCCGCTTGCGCCGCCAGCTGAGGCGGAAGCGGCGGGATGGGCGGACGAACCGGCGGCTGCGGGTCCGCTGGCGACTTTTATATCTGCGGTTGCCGCGGCAGATGGCGCAGTTGAGGCGACGGCAGGAGGCGGGGGAAGGGGAGAGGACGCGGTCCCGACTTGCGCCATGACACCACGAGTGGGGCCGGAGCCGGCGCGGTGGGTGGCGGATGGCGCGGGCGCGGAGCCATGAGGAGCCTTGGGGGCGTCCGCCCACGATGGAGGCGCGGGAGACATGGCGGCATCCGCGGAAGGGGAGAGCTCGAGAAACTTCCTGCGAAGGGCAACGGGGGAGGGAGGGAGTGCGGGAAAGGCGGGGAGGGGAGGGAGGGGGGGGGGGGAGGGAGGAGAGAAGAACGGAGAGTTGACGCGAAAGAACGAGGGAAGGAAACAGGCAGTACGCGAGGCGATGACGATAAGAACAGGTAAGATTAAGAATGGAGTGAGGGCGGGGTGAGGAGGCGAGGCGAGGCAACGCAAAGCGTACTTTTTTAGCAGAATAAAACGGTTGCAGCACGCTTTATTGTCGCGGTACGGTAGCAGGCCGCTGCTCTTGAGCAGTCCCCAGTTCGTCGTGCCGTGCGCCGTGACGTGCGCGAGAAGAATCGCGTCCTCCTGCGCGCAACGCAACACACGCCGCACACACAGAAAGACGCGGGAATGGGGAAACAGGTGAGGCCTATAGTGGAGGACGGTGCGGTACGGAGCCGTGGGACTCACGCGTGGGCGGGGTAGTGCGACCGTGTGATACCGACGGTGGAATAGCGAGAGAATAAGCCCCGACGAACGAAAAGCAACCAGAATGGGTGTGGAACTTACCTCCGACGTCCATCGGCTCAGGTATTTGCCACCGGGCGGGCGAGCCTGATTGGGATCTAATGCTCGCTGCGGCTTCGCCTCCATGAGGTGGTTCTGGCGTTGCTGCTGCTGCTGCTGCTCGTGATGCGGCTGATGTTGCCGCTGATTCAGCTGGTGCTGCTGGTGCTGCTGGAGCAAGCCGGCGCTGCTGCCCGCCAGGTCCTCGTGCGAATGCACCTGGTGCTGAAACTCGGAGCAAATGTTGCGGTACGGAAACTGCGGGTGCAACTGGGACATGGTCAGGCCGCCGTAATCGGCCATAAGCATGCGCGCGGCGCTGGAATCCAGGTCTAAGTGTGCGGTAGCCATTGACGCCGGCATAATGGAGCAGCGGGGATAAAGAGGATCCATTAGTGAGGCATGAAGTTAGCTCCTGGGGATTACGAAAACGTTTCACCGAAGAAAACGAATGTGCTGAAGCTGCGGTGGCGTGGGCTGAAGGCGGTCTACAACCCTAGGAATCTCACGTACAAACTTCGTGAATGCCAGCGGAAGGACAAGAGCGGAAGTTTGAACTCTGAGCCCGTTGAAATGGGCTGGGGGGAGAAGCAGAGATGGAGGCAGTGGTGAAGCGGAGACGTGGAGTGGTGAAAACCCTCGAAGAAGACGAGGAGACCGGCCCTAGTTACCAGTTGCAAAGTCTGGCTTTTGCTGTAGCAGTTGTCGGATTGGAGGTTACTGGCAGAGGCGGAAACGATGGCTGTGTGGGAGGGGGAGCGACGGGGGAGAAGGGGAAGCTGGAGGAGGGACGAGCAGAAGAAAGTATCTTCTCTCGCCTCCGACGATCCTGTTCTGCCATTCGTGTGTAAACTCTCCCCCCGGAATCCATTGGTCCACGCCGGAATGGCAATGTAGCTACAGTAAACGACAGAGCTGTTCGGGGGCGTGGTGGGAGAAAGGATCCATTTCAACGGTCTCGATCGTGGATTCGGGTTGATGAACGAGCGGATTTGCACATGTTGGGCTAGGGTTTGGCCTGGTTGTGTTGTGATACTTTTCTGGTGGGTGGCATCGACACGACACTCCTTTCCGCCGCTGTCGGCTTGCGTCGTTTGCATCAACGAGGGAGAGTGAGACAAGCTTGAAATGTAGGCAGATGGGCATGACAGCCTGGCCAAATCTGAGGAACTTATTGGCGCGTGAGAGAATGGGACGAATTCAGCTGCGAATGGGACCATGGGCAACAGTTTCGGGGAATTATACAGGTAGTCATAGTTATTCCCAGATTGTTTACGTTTGGGCTTGTGGGTATCACAAAAAAGTCACAGTAATCTTCGTAATTATCGCGTGTGATCACAGTGCTATCACGGATAGTCACACCTTGCCCCGCAAGTCGATCACGTTTGGTCACGGATGAAACGCCCAATCGAAAAATGTCACTACTCGAGTCACTGTAGGGATTCAGGGGATTTTTTTTATCACGCGCGCCGTTTTGTCCGTAGTGTTGCGAGACGCTGTTACGTACGAAATTATTTCGCGATCACTCTCGTTAACTCGCTAAAAACATATGCAATTTCTCGGCAACATCAGAAAGTTAGCTCGTTGCGCATTGTCACTGTTCAATTATCAGCTGATCGATTGATGCATAATGTCCCTAAGAATATCACTTTTAGACCGGTGAAACTCGAAGGTTGTTTCTGCTTCCCAAGAAAAAACTAAAACCCATTCGGATGGGATTTCCTTCGGGAGACATCAACCCTAAACACCTTGTCGCAAGGTGTTTAGGGTTGATGCCTCCCGAAGGCCGTGCCATCCTATAGGGGTTTTTTTTTTTCATTCTTAGATGTCAGGCGTGAATCATGTGCGAGGTAACAAGCAATCAAAATTGTGATTTCCCAAAATCTCTACAGTTTCATTTGGGGTTTCAGAATATTTATGATAGTTTCATCAAGTGACCAAACGTGATAGCATTGCGGGGCAAGGTGTGACTATGCGTGATAGCGCTGTTATCACGCGCGATAGAAATCTACTGTACTGTGACTGTTTGTGATACCCCAGTAACCAAACGTGATAAACTGGTTATAATTGTGACTTCCCGTAAAATTCCCCAAAAGTTTCTGTTGCAGCCCATCGCAAATAGTAATTGGGGCCCACCGGAGAAGAACCACAATGGACACCAGTGTTCGGCTGCAGGTGATGTTCTGACCGGAAACTTTAAGCGTCGCCCCAACATGTCTATCAAAATGCAAACTACACACTGTCCTACTCTGGCACTATTTCGTTACACATGATGCCCAACCAGTGCACGCGAATTTGCCCTGCACCGGATGGAAACGCTGCACCCGAGGTCTTTTCCCCAGCCTGTTGCACCCACGATACAAGCGCGTCGCGTGGTTATGGACCAATAGTAACGAACAGACCGAAGTCAAACTGAAGAGACTGAAGTCAAAATTTCAACGGATAAGGTTACAGTTACTTAATATAAGCACCTGCGAAGCCTTTTTAGCCAGCTGCGAATTGACGAAACTTATGCGAATTGCACGATACAGATTATACGCCCTCTTCACAAAGCAACCGGGAGGGTCTCAAACAGGCATCAATTGTATAAGTTGAACTTGCCGTTGACACTGGCATGGTGCTTCCTTTTTGCAATGAGAGGCACTCGTCAGAAATAAAGGTGCACAGTAATGGTCAGCTGCCCACAGTACCCCAAACCCAGGTCCGCAACAAAAACACGGTAAGGTACCCGTGTTATCGTGCTGCAAAACACGAAAGCCAAAAAAAAAAAACCAAAAAAAAACAACAGCAACAACAACAAATCGAACAAAAAATGAGCTAGGTGGAACCTGCACTACACTCAGGAACAAATATGTCCTGGCTACCCGAGCGGGAGTAAGGAGCATGGGGCAGGTTGAAAACAAAAATGTCTCTCTCCACGTCCGCCCGTTGTACAGATCTGCCTCTTGCAAAGCAAAACCTCATTCGGTTGTGATTGACGCCGCCCAGAGATTGCCTGGCATGAAACGACAACATACTCGACAACTAGGGTCCCACCCACTGCCAAGGTCTTGCAGTGCAGTATCCGTCGTGATGAGGTTTTGTGCGCCAGGTTCATCCACACTTGCTCCAATACACGTAACATACACAACTACAAGGGATCATGGAAAACTTTGATTACCACAACTCCATTCTCCAACTTTGTGGAGCAATATTGCAAGACAAGCTAGCCATCTTGCTCATCACAAACAGCTGCACTTGTCAGTCACACCCCATCGATGCCTGCAAGTAATTTATGGAAGGCTAACATGCACTACAACTCATCCACATGCAGTCTCCGGGCTAGTTCCTGTTGATGATGTAGGGTATTGTGAGTTAACATTCTTGTAAATATTCAAATATAAAGCTGGACAAAGACTACGGGTGGGAGACGGAATAGGTAAGGTGTGTAATAAAGTGGGAGACTGCACGATCTTCGTTTATGCGACAGGTGTCCCGAAACGCCTGCAGGGACAGTGAGGTACACAGGAAACCTGCGCGGAACCACACCCCCCCCCTCCCCCCCACGACTTCTGTAGCTTTGTTCATTACAATATTATGGATATCATTTTTTGCATCACAATCAGCATGTCACCATCATTGCCATGCCATTCACTTCATCATTGCATACCATATAAGGTTCCCCATCGCCACCACGCAGAGCTCTAGTACTACCAGCAGTACATGCAGCAAGAAGCAGTAATGTCCACTAAGTCCAATTCATACGGTAATAATCATGACTGTTTTCATCTCCCCAGCAAAACGTTGCCATATCTCACCAGTCTGCACAAACTTTTACCCCTAGCCACCCTTCTCCTCACTCCCATCCCTATCGCCTCCCTCCTCAGTCTTGCTCGATGCGCCACCCCCTTGCCTCTCCTTCCCACACTCCCCTCCAACACCGTGTGTGTTCGGAGGTGATCCAGCACCCCCCCCAAGCCCCACGCCACCACCAGTTCTTCCCTCTCCTCCCAACCCGCCTGCACTGGCCTCTTTCCCACCCACTCCACTTGACAACCCTTCCCGCTTTAACCCCTCCCCTTCCGACACACTTAAATCCTCTGCCTCCCCACTCCCTGCACCCTGCTGTGATGCTGCTCCCCGTGCTGATGCTGCTGCAGATGATTCAGTGAATTCAGCAGTCGGTGCTGTGAGTGCTGCAACAGCAGCAATAACCCCAAGCTGCTTTTCACAACCACCGTCGTCACCAGCATTGCCATCAGCGCATGCATCGGCATCAGCAGCAGCATCATCACCTCCAGGGGTTGCATGATCTGCAACTTCCCCACATGCCCTCGCTTCTGCCCCTGCTGCTTCCCCTCCTCCACCCTCCCCTGCTGCTCTCCCCGCCCCCTCCCCACATGCCGCACCTGCCCCTGACCCCTGCCCCTCCCTCTCCCCATCTCCACCCCCCCCTGCACACGCCCCTGCCCCTACAGCACACCCCATGCTCCTACCCTCAAGCCCATCCCCATCCCCATCGCCGCCTCCCCCACCGCCGCCTCTATCACCTTGCTGCGTTGGCTCTGCACCTTGCCCCCCTCCCCCTGCTCCCCTCCCCACTGCTGCCTCTCCCACCATCCCTCCCTGCACAGCAGTGCCTCCTGGCCTATCCGCTGATCCCTCTACACCTGACCTGCCACCCTCGCCGTCGCACCCCACCTGCCCCGCCGCGCTTGTGGCACCATCAGCACCACCACTGTTTCCACTGTCTTCCTTTCTTCCGCCTGTAGTACCCCCACCTCCCGTCCCACTCCCTCCCACTCGCCTCTCACCTCCCTCCCTCCCCTCCGCCCCTTTCTCCTCCCCCTGCGCCCCTCTCTTCTCCCCACCACTGCTACTCGCCCCTCTCCCTTCTCCTCCCCACTCCCTCTCCTCCCTTATCCGGCCTCGCTCATCTCCCCCCATCCCCCTCCCTTCCCCTCCCCTCCCACTCCCGTCCACCCCCCTCCCTCTCCCCTCCCCTCTCCCTCTCCCCTCCACCCCTCTCCCTCTCCCCCTCCCAACCCCACCTCTCCCTCGCCCCTCCCCTCGCCCCTTCCCATCCCCTCTCCCTCTCCCCTCCCCTCTCCCCCGCCCCTCCCCCCTCCCGCGCCCCCTGTCCTTCCCCACGCGCCCATCCGCGCCAACAGGGGGAATGTGTCCGCCAGTGGTGAGCCAGAGGCGCCAGGGGCCCTCTTCCCCGGGCTGCAGGTTGGTGAGCCCGGGGGGGCGCGAGATGTAGCTCAAACCCACCAGCAGCTCCACCAGACACACCTCGAACCGGTCCTTGTCCGCGTAGTACAGCGTCTGGAGGGGTGGAGGGGGGGGGGGAGGCGGGAGGACAGAGGGAGGGGAGGAGGGGAGGACGGGGGATGCGGGCAGAAGGGGAATGGGAGAGTGGGGAAGGGAAGGGGAGAGTGGGGAAGGGAAGGGGAGAGTGGGGAAGGGAAGGGGAGAGTGGGGAAGGGAAGGGGAGAGTGGGGAAGGGAAGGGGAGAGTGGGGAAGGGAAGGGGAGAGTGGGGAAGGGAAGGGGAGAGTGGGGAAGGAAGGGGAGAGTGGGGAAGGGAAGGGGAGAGTGGGGAAGGGAAGGGGAGAGTGGGGAAGGGAAGGGGAGAGTGGGGAAGGGAAGGGGAGAGTGGGGAAGGGAAGGGGAGAGTGGGAAGGGAAGGGGAGAGTGGGGAAGGGAAGGGGAGAGTGGGGAAGGGAAGGGGAGAGTGGGGAAGGGAAGGGGAGAGTGGGGAAGGGAAGGGGAGAGTGGGGAAGGGAAGGGGAGAGTGGGGAAGGGAAGGGGAGAGTGGAGGACAGGTTGAGTGGGGAGGGGAGGGCGAGTGGGGAGGGAAGGTTGAGTGGGGAGGGGAGGGTGAGTGGGGAGGGGAGGGTGAGTGGAGAGAGGAGGGTGAGTGGGGAAGAGGGGAGGGGTGTGTACGAGATGTGCATAATATGTAGTCCCACCAAACACACCGGACTCAACTCACCTGCACGTGCCGTGGCGTTTACTGAGGTCGCACAAAAACCAGCCCTTCCATTCCCTCCCTCTCCCTTCCTCCCCAGCCCCCGCACCTGCCTGCACGCACACCGAGCCTCACCTGCACTGCACTTGCAGCGTGCGGTGGCGTTTGCGCAAATGACACCCGTAGCTGTGCTCCGTCTGCCACGTTATAGTGGCATGCGCCATGGGCAGCAGCCACCCCAGCATGTACTCCCCGGTTTGAATTGAACCGCCTCCCCCCCCAAACCCAACCACCCACAACTCCATCCCAGTGCAACCACTCCAACGCACCCACCCAGACAAACCCAGCCCTTCCCCCCCCTCCACGCCTCCCCATCCCCCCGTTTCTCCCCATCAACCCCACCTGCACTTGCAGCGTGCGGTGGCGTTTACTCAAATGACACCCGTAGCTGTGCTCCGTCTGCCACGTGATAGTGGAGTGCGCCATGGGCAGCAGCCACCCCAGCATGTACTCTAACGTGCGCCGGATCTCCGCCGCTGCCTCGATGTCAAAGGGGCGCGTGCGCTGGTTGAGCCGCACGCGCAGCTGGTGCTTCACGTTGCCGGGTAACCGCCGGTATAGGTCGTCCCTGAGGGGAGGGAGGGGGGAGGAGGGGAGGATGTTGAGAGGAGGTAAGGAGGAGGACGGAGGAGAATAGATGAAATTGCTGGTTCAGGCCCACACGCAGCTGGTGCTTCACGTTGCCTGGTAGCCGCCGGTATAGGTCCTCCCTGGGGGAGAATGGGGGAAGATGGCATAAGATCTAGTGGGTACGCAGAGGTGCATGGAAACACGCGCTGGTGGGAATAAATGAACGTGCTGGCTCAGCTGCACGCGCAGCTGGTGCTTCACATTGCCTGGTAACTGCCGGGATTCAGGTCATGCCCGGGGGGGAATGAGGGGAGATGGCATAAGATTCAGTGGATAAACACCCAGCAAGGTGTTGGTATAGAGACAGACACAGACTAAAGATTGATACAGCACAGCACAGTGAGCGGAACCCACACGCCCCCTCCTCACCTCCGCACGCGCAGCAGCGCGGTGGGCTTGTTGATAATCCACTTCGAGAGAAGCTGCGTGTGCGCGTAGTGACAGACGGATGCTGTTTCAACCCGCCCTAATTTCACGCCCGCATGCACGCACATGCCCACACACCCCACACCCCCACAGGCCCCCTCACCTCCGCACGCGCAGCAGCGCGGTGGGCTTGTTGACAGTCCACTCCAAGAGCAGCAGCATTTGCGCGTAGTGACGGATGCTCGTGGAGTCGACTTAGTTATCCAGCCCAAATACCCACTCGCCCACGCACCTCCCCCTCACCTCTGCACGCGCAGCAGCGCAGTGGGCTTGTTGACAATGCGCTCCACGAGCAGCAGCGTGTGCGCGTAGTGCAGTGCGAGGCCCCTCTCCCCCAGCGTGTGCGCCGTGTGCTGCGCGTCCACCTCGGGGGAGCCGAATAGCAGACGCAGGCGGCGCGATAGGATCACCACTGCTGCTGCTAGCAGCTGGGGGGGCAGGGGCACGGGAAGGGGAGGGGAAGGGGAGGGCAGGGGAGGGAAGGGACAGGCAGGGTAGTGGGAGCTTCAAAGGCAGCAGCACAGTTGCACACTGGACGAAAGGGGTGTTGCACTGGCAGCAAGGCTGTGGGGGAGAAGGGAGGGGCAAAGCGAGTTAAACGGCACAGGTCAAGCAGGGGCTACGGCACAAGCAGCGTGATTGTGGTGTGTGTGGAAAGGGAGCAAACAAGAGGGGTTGGTGAGGGAACGAGAACACCCACTAGCAGCAGCAGGGGAGCAGGTGGGGCAGGAGGAGAGGCGGTGGAGTGGAGCATACCAGAACGGACTTGTCAAAGTCTTCACACCATAGTGACTCCTTCTGCAACCGCTCCACTAGCTTCATCTGTGATGGCGTGGTGTGGCATGCATGGCGTGGTGTGGCATGGTGGCATGGTGAGCACATGGAGTTGAAACACCATCACGTGACAACATTCTTCCATTGAGAACTCCCAAACCATTTGAACTTATGTCACGCACACCACCACTCACAACAATTTGGGAGCTCCTGCACTCTCACAA